CAGGTTGTCAGGTCAGCGCCTGTGTCAGTCGGCGGGTCGGTGTCTGGGCCAGGTTGTCAGGCAGGAGATCTTCCTGCGATACTTGGGGACGAACTGCTTAGTGGCGAGCTGCCTATGCAATGCCGAGTTGTCTAAGTTGCCAGGCTGAGGATGAGCTGCCTGTGGCGAGCTGCCTATGGGGAGCTGCCTGTGGCAAGTTGCCTATGGCGAGCTGCCTGTGGCAAGTTGCCTATGGGGAGCTGCCTATGGCGAACTGCCTATGGCGAGCTGCTTATGGCAAGTTGCCTATGGCAAGCTGCCTGTGGCAAGCTGCTTATGGCGAGTTGCCTATGGCGAGCTATCTATTTGTCAAGAGGCTACACTTAGTTGGCATGAGGTGCCAGGTGTCACAATTTCACTGGAGGGCCAAATCTGCCCTCATCAATGTACATGATCAAACCATCTAATCCTTGACATTCCTTGATATTGTCACTAATTTGAGCTAAAATCCTCTTAGATGTACTCACTTGTGATTCCATCTCTTTTAGTCTTGCCACTTGTTCATCTCAGCATCCTCAAAACCAAAATAATTAAAAAGGAAGAGAGAAAAAGAACATCCTTAGATGCTAGAAACATTGTGACCATGCTTGAAATTTTACGAGTTTGATTAATTGGCTATGTAGCAGAAAAATGGTTTGGCTATGCAGCAGGACAATGGTTTTGTGTGTTGTATTTTTTTCCCTCTCTATTTTTGCTAGCTAAAGTTGGGAGTGGGGGTGGTGAGGATGAATCCATGAATTGATCCCTGTTTATGGTGCTTACATCCACCTAATTTACCAGCTGAACCGGCTGGCACCATCAAAAATGGTTTTTCTTTTAAAATCTGGAGTGTGGGGGGTGAGCACTGTGAGGTGATCATCTGTCAAGTTTATAGAATGTATTGTTTAAGAGCCCTTTTGTGGTGACCTTGACTCCATTGCAAGCTAACCTGTTAGGGCATTGGAGTTTAAACATCCTCCACTCTACTTATGGGTACTGCCTAAGATGGCAACCCAAGTGCTAACTTCAGACAGTTCTTCTAATGGCCTGCCAATTGACCAACTTAGACATCTGAATCCATCTGTAAGTGTCAAGAACTCAACTCCACAGGGTTGCGCATGGTAGCTTTATTTGGAACTCCTGATGCATCATCACTTAGAAGATGGCTATCAGCTCACCGGGCTTGCCTTGATGGGTAAGAGTGCAATCATTACATTTCCATATATCATGCATTTTCTCTTCATTTGTGTAAAATGTTGGGATGCACATGTGAGTAGGTGTATGGAATGAGTAATGAAAGAGAGTCCCACATTGGAAAGACACAAAAGACTTATATACAAGAGTGGGCCATAATTCAATAGCTTAGGCTTTTGGGCTGTAAGTGGTGTCCATCTCTTGTGTACAAGTCTTACGCGCATGTACGTTTATGAAGCCCCTGGTTTTGGCAACTCCGTGACCCCCCCCCCCCCTCGAGGCCCAACATAAAACAGTTTTCGAGCAAGTTCAACCAGATGGTGGTTAGTGTAGGCAACAGTTGAAGGAAGCAAAACCAACTTATCATCTCATGTTCTGGATTATCACCACGGGATGGATGAACTAGATTGGGTTCAAAAGGTTTTCTGTGAAATTGAAAAGACTGTTAGGTCGATCTCATAACAAGCCTCTCAACAATTTCATTTCGACAAATAATGCTTTCCATTCCAGATTATGAAATGTACACACCCAGAAAAAAAAGTGAACTCACATATCACAATATTCTCTATGTATTAGAGGACATCACATTCCCCAAAGAAGGGAATCAAGAAATCTTCTGCTTCCTATGGTTTCTACTCGAAGGGGTATAGGTATTTATTGCAAAACCATTCGATTCCAACCAGATACAACCAGATCCAAATTTGAAACTATATAATAGTTAATAAATTAGACTAAAAAGTGATTAGAATATTGTATTCGAAATAGAAATTATTCATATAAATGAAAACTAAAAGAGATTTGGGTTTATATTCGAGGAAACATTTCCAACCCCACATTTGGCTAATGTACAGTTTCTCTATGCATACTCCGTTCAGTGACCAAGTCCGAGATACACTTATTTTTGTAGAGATAATCGCATCTCCATCCGTTCCACAAGGAGCTCTAATGTGTGCCTGCATTAAAGATCCTTGTATGATTAGGATAAACCAATAAAATTCAGCTTGTAAGTTGTAACTATAGATCCAGGTTTAGGAGCTTAAATTAGGGAATAAAGCTATTTGGTACGTAGTTTTGAATTGTCACTTTGATAAATAAAAAGGACAGGTCTCATTATATCGCCTTAAAGAGCAGTGACTATACGATCTTCAAAGCCCGTAATCTGATTGCTATCATCTCCATATTGATAGATAGGGGTGGTCACGAGCTGAGCTTTTCATGAGCTATTCGAGTTTGGTTCGTGAAAAACTCAGTTCGGTTTGGTTTAAATCGAGCTTTGAGCTGAATTTGAACTCAATATATAGGTTTACTTGTTAATCGAGCCAAACTCGAGCCCAGTGAAGCTTGGCTCATGAGGCTCATGAGCCTAGTATTAAATAAATAATTTTATTATATATAATAATACTTTTATTAATATTATATTTTTATTTTTCATGCATAATACTAAATAATTTTATAAATATAATTTTTAGTTTTCAAAAAAAAAATTTGACTGACGAGCTCGAGCTTATGAGTTATGAACCAGCTCGAGTTCGAGCTTGATACAATTCCTATGAGTCGAACTCGAATAACAAAGTATCTGACTCGGTTCGGTTCGAATCCACCCTATTGATAGATAATTTGGACAGTTCTTGAAGGGATGAAGGATGGTCTGACGATGGACAAGAGTTGGGATCTGCTCCCAATAAAACATGTTTCACACACTTCCAACATGATTTGTAACCGCACATCCCAAATCCAGACTCCATGGACAACGGCTGATCTGCTCATTGAGCTTCATCCATAAGTCGTGGATGAAACATTGTTGTCTAATGTGCCTACGTTTTCCATCTTCTGATGAAACATTGTTGTTCCTCATGCAGCATTTTATGCTGGATGCCACATCACTGATCACCCCACCCATTGTTGTCTAGAACATTTATACACAATTAATTCTTAATCCCCAAATAATCAAATTGGAGGAATTAATAGCATAAGGTGTGTTAAGTGTATATGCGCGTTTGTTTCATACTCTGGAATCTAGATGTTCTCAAATCATCCCAAAATCGAAGTATTCTTACTGAGCAAGAGAAGTTTGGGATACGTCTCCATCATCCCAACGCTTTCCTTTGCAACATTTGCCCCCATCAGGAAGGAAGGAGGCATGCAGTAAAGCCTTGTATGTTCCTGCCGTGGTGACTCCATTTGTCAAGTATTCCTCTAGGGTTGAACGTGAACCATTTTGCTTCAATTAGAAAGGCTTTGTGCACATCCACCCACTGCAGCAGGATCAAGATCAAACATATCTTTGTGTAGAATTCGGATGTTCAGCTGGCTGTGAAATCAATCATAATGTTTCATGCCATTAATATATTCATGGGCCCACTGTAGAAGGTGCTGGTCCCATGTATTTTATTATTGGTGTGTAGGGGTGGATTCTAGTCGATCTCGAGTAGCTTGTGAAGAGCTCAGCTCGTGGCCACCCCTACTAGTGTGGAATATTATCATTGGTTCCACAGCCTGCAGAACAACCATGGTGTTCAACTAATCCTTGCTCTTTTGTGTATTGTTACAAATAACAAGAAGACAATTAAGCGGGAATAGTATACTATTACTGTTCTCTTCAGGCTAGATATGACATTCCATATTCTTTTAAAAATGGGAAAATTCCCAACCAATATCCTGTACCTTGGCTCAAGTGACAATTTGGTCCCCAAACTTTAAAATGTGACAATCTAGTACCTAAACTTTTGAAATGCGAAAATCTAGTGCCTGTTGTTAATCAACCATTAAGTTGCATGTCAAAAGACACAAATACCCTTCTAGTGTCATCTAATTTTCTTTATCAAGCATTCGCTAAAATCATAACCAACAGTCAAATTTTTCATCCCTACAACAACACTTTTGTCTTTCTTCTCCTTTGAATATTACGTCATCTTCGGACCAAAACTAAAGCAAATTCTGGGAGAAGTTTTCCTTTAATTATTGTAATTATCTTATACGAAAAACAGAAAAAAAGAAAAGTCTCCGGCCACCATCACTGATCTATCTCTCTCTCTCTCTCAAGTATCAAGATAAATCTTTCAATTTTTCTCCTCTCTTTTACCTATAGGAATAAATATTAATGTGTTAAGTTAAAAAAATAAAAATAAGTTGTATAAAACTTGGATTTTTTTGTTCTTGG